CTACTTGGGAGGCGGAGGCAGAAGACTCGCTTGAGCCCAGGAGTTGGAGGTTGCTGTGAGCTGTAATGCCACGGCACTCTACCCAGGGGGTCAGCTTGAGGCTCTGTCTCAAAAAAAAATAAAATAAAATAAAATAAAAAGCTTTTTGGCCAGGCATGGTAGCTCATGCCTATAATCCTAGCACTTGGGGACAGCAAGGTGGGAGGATCATTAACGTTCAGGAGTTCAAGACCAGTCCGAGCAAGTGAGACCCCTGTCTTTCCTAAACACAGAAAAAATTAGCCAGGAGTGGTGGTGGGTGCCTATAGTCCTAGCTACTTGGGAAGCTGAGGCAGGAGGATCATTTGAGCGCTGGAGTTTAAGTTTGCAGTAAGGCACTCTAGCCTTGGGCAGTAGAGTAAGTCTGTCTCAAATAAATCTTTTTTTTTTTTTTTCTCCAAGTTGTTGCCCTGGGTAGAGTACTGTGGTGTTACAACTCACAGCAACCTCAAACTCTTGGGCTTAAGCAATTCTCTTGCCTCAGCCTCCCAAGTAGCTGGGACTATAGGCACCTACTATAACGCCCAGCTATTTTTGTTGTTGTTACTATTGTTGCAGTTGTCATTGTTGTTTTAACTGGCCCAGGCGGGGTTCAAACCTGCCACCCTCGGTGTACATGGCTGGCGTCCTACCAACTGAGCTAGGGGTACTGCCTCAAATAAATCTTTTTAAAAGGGGCATATTCCACATAAAGATAACACTGCCTCACTTATCGCATAAGTATAGTAATTTACAACAGTGTCCCCAAAATTTATGTTCCAGAAAACACTAATTGCAGCAGAGGACATAATTAGAAACCAGATCAACTGAGGCTTGGAGAGATACACTGTTCTCCTACACCCTCTTCTGCTTTTAGAGTAGTAAGTCCAAATTGCAACACCTTTCCTCTAAGATAACACACACTCTTCACACCTTGCTCTGGCCATACCCAAAAGATTTAGTGCCCAGTTACTTCCTCTGCCAGGAAGCCAGCCTCGACTCCAACCCCACCCTTCCAGTCCATTCACTCTCCCTGCACACAGATCATAACTCAGTCTTTTGCAATTCTCATCTCATCAAGCACAAGGCTTATCTGAAGATTATACTCACACTTCTCTTTAAGTCCAAAATAAAATAAATATATAAAAACACGGCAAGCCACCCTGATTTAGATCATAGAACGGTGATCAGATCTTGAGGGAATGCTGAAGATATATGAAAGTTAGTACTTATCTCATTGAATTACCTTGAGAAATGGAATCACAAAAGGACGCAGAGGAAAGTTTGTGGCCTCTTGGAGCTTACAATGGAATTCTTCAATTGTCACTGTTGAGTTCTGAAAAGATAAATAAATTCATCTTCTAAAACTAAATACTGGCTTATGGTGCTAAACTTTTTTGAATCTTAAGAAAAAGAATAATTCCAGGAGCACTATTATGTACTCAGATCCCTCTCAAAAATCAAATTCTACTTCCTTTATGACAGACATTCAGCCTCCTGATTCTCTTTTCCACCACCCCAAATCTCTATTCTGTTCTTTATCCAGCAGCCTAGGTTGCAGAATAGGGCACTGCCTTCTTCACTATTCATGAACAGATACTCCGGCCCCTGATTTTGAGGGATCTACTCTGAGTCACTATAGGGACAGGCAATCAATCAGGCTTATGCTTCCTGTTGAAGAGATCTTGATTTGGCCCAGGATGTCAATTAACAGATATTTTTTGGCCAATAACCCAGTGCCACACCTTTTCAAAAGTTCAATTTTTTTCAAAAGTTCAAGTTCTGCCTACCTCTTGGCATATGTTCCAAAATCTTCTACATGAAAACTTAAAAGAAAAAGATCCATAGGGGCCTTCTACCTTCAAGTGGCATGTGTACATATAGGAACAATTCCAAATAGGCAAACTCCATTGTTAAGTTTTTATTATTCTCAAGATATCCCATTTATTTCCTAAAAAGTCTAGGCTTTAGAGTAGGAATGAATCTGAGTTCTTCTTCTAAGGGGAATGAACAAATAAAAATATTTTCTTCAAATTCACTAAATATTTCTATTTCATTTCCTACAATAAAGTACAGTAACAAAACAAAACAAAAAAACCAAAACTGCACTAAACTGAATTCCTATTCCCCCCGAAAGAGCAATTATCACTTTTAAGAATTTAGTTTCAAAGGTCTAACACTTGATATACAAATTATTCACAGTATAATACTGCTTCTTAACCCCACCCAAAGAAAATATATAGGTCCCCAATAGAAAACCGCATTAAAAAGCGTAATAAAGTAATGAATCAGAATGCTGGGAAGGGTAGAGTATATTTGTATGCATTAATAAAGAAAGGTATCTACAATATACTGCTAAGTGAAAAAACCAGAAACAGAACAGTATGTTTTCCAAGAATCCACCTATAAAAATCACACATGCAAACCCACACATAAATTACAACATTTTAAATAGCTGGAAGGACAACCACAACAGCAGTTATTTCCACACTTTCATTCATTCCAAATACTTTGAGTACATGTTAAGCATATGACATTTGTACAATACAACCAAAGAAATTTGTAATACTAATAACCAGGAATAGAAACTATAAGAGTATGATACTCTTCTATCTCTACTGCACTGAATGCAATCAGGTCTTGAAAAGGAAAGAAAAGAAGATTAAATGTATGGAAAGACTGATGAATGCTTTTAGATTTTCTTGTGTATATACAAAGAGAAAGAATGAATTGTACGGCAAAGAGAAATAGTGAGGTAGGCCAGAGAAATGGACTCTGGGCTATATATACTGTAAATACAGGGCAGTCCTGTATCTGAGAAGGCTAACTACCCACAGCTTCCTCTACTTTTAATTATTTTATCATAAAGAACATAATTGGATTTCCCCCCAAAGAATGCACAGCCTGCAGTGGTGTCCAACCTGCAGCCCTCGGGCTACATGCAGATTTTTTGAGGCCCATTTTGCTTATCTGTGGTATTAGATATCATAAAAATTATACGTGGACTTTTGTTTTGGTCATCAGCTTTTGTCAGCATTTGTGTACTTAATAAATGACCCAAGACTACTCTTCTTCTTTCAATGTGCAGGAGGGAAAAAAAAAAAGTTGGACACTCCTGGTTCTAATGGGGGAAAAGAGACAACTAAGCTGTTCATTACAGTATGATTAGGGTAAATGTGAGCAGGATACCACTGACTCACAGACAAGACATGACGGAATCAGACTTAGGGGAATAAGGATGGCTTTACAGAAGCATCACCCCTGGAAGAATTAAAGTGCAGCTCTGTGAAAAATGCTTCTGGTAAAGAGAGAGGAATTTGGAAGGTGTTAGGGTATCTGGTCTCTGAAGCTCAAGGACAATACCTATATTAGCATCAGAGGACAAAGGGTAGAAGACTAAAGTTTTGTTACTATTACTGTTTTTAGTTTTAGAGACAAGGTCTTGCTATACAACCCAGGCTGGAATGCAAGGTATATTCACAGGCATGGTAAAAGCCACTGTAGCCTCAAACTCCTGGCTTCAAGCAATGATCTTCCCTCCACCTCCTGAGTAGCTGAGACTACAAATGTGAGCCACTGTAAGTGGCTTAAAATATTTTTTTATCGGTCCCGCGCAGTTGGGTGGGCTGACTCCTCGCTACTAGGTAGTGGGTTTCAGGGCGGACTCAGCCTGCGGCAGCAAGAGCCCAACTCCAGCCGACCTTGGGCCTTGGGAGTTCATTGCCAGAGTCTGCGGAGGTGCAGAGGCCTCAGGTCTAAGCACAGGTCGAAAACTACAGGCACAAGCTATGGAAGCTGGAATGCTCTGGTGTTGGTATTTCCCCTGACTTAAACCAACTGTCACTCTGTATAGTTACAATAAGAAAGTGCAATAAGCTCAAATACGGAGGGTGCCAAAAAGGTGTATGTGTATTTTAAGAGATGTAATCTAGATAGTACTTGGCCTTCTCAGTCACCAATTACGAATGTAATTACAGTAGCAACGTGTAGAATGACATTAGCTTAAATGATAGTGCTGATCAAGTGATTGCCCGAGCCAGTCACCATGCGACAGGCAGGACAGTCAAAGAAAATGGCGGAGTCGCGGTTGTCATTCGAGGAGCGCAAGACCATTTTGAAGTGGTATTTGAAATTCGAGAACATTGTGGAAGTGCAGTGACAGTGGAGGCGTGAGTATACAACAGACCCCCCAACACGCCTGACAATTGCGCGCATTCGCAATAAGTTTGAGACGCACGGCAATGTGTGCAACGTGCACAAGGGCAGGTCCGGGAGGCCACACACGGCCACAAGTCCCGCTGTGTCCGCGATGGTGCTGGAGCAGTTCACGCGCTCGCCGCAGAAGTCCACCAAGCAGTGTGCGTGCGAGACCGGGATCAGCAGGACGAGCATACGGTGCATTAAGACAGCAAAGTGGGAAGTTTTTGTCCCAAGATTGTTACATTCCGTGAATGAAGACGACCCTGATCAAAGGGTTCAATACTGTGAGTGGTTCCAAAATATGGTACAAGTGGATGAGGAGTTTGTGGGGAAAATGGTTTGGTCTGATGAAGCACAGTTTAAACTAAACGGAACAGTCAACCGACATAATTGCGTGTATTGGGCTCCAGAAATTCCACGTGTGGAAAAAGATGTCCATATACTGGGCCTCAACGTCTGGTGCAGACTGTCATTGAGGGGACTCCTTGGGCCATTCTTTTCTGAAGGTCCTATTACTGGGCCAGTGTACCTAGACATGCTACGTACATCCATTTTGCCTGCAATTCGGGCCCTTTTCGGGGATGATTACATTTTACTTCCAACAAGATGGTGCCCCACTACATTTCCACCTGGACGTGAGAGCTTACCTTGACGAGAACTTGCCAGGACAATGGGTAGGACGCAGAGGCGTCATTGAGTTTCCCCCACGGTCTCCTGACTTAACACCCCTAGACTTCTACCTGTGGGGCACCTTACAGGATGTGGTGTACCACAGAAAACCGGCTACACTGGTGGAACTTCGGGAAGAAGTTGAAAGGGTTTGTGCAGCGATACAAGCAGACACTTTGGTCAGCGTGGCTCAGGCAGTAGTTGTCCGAAATCAGAAGTGTCTGGACGTTGATGGTAACCACTTTGAGCACCTCTTATAATTGCAGAAGTCAGATGTGACTTGTGTTTATTATCTTTTGTGATGGGTATATAGTCAGTATTACAACTTCAGTAGTTTTTGCTTTTCTTAAAATGTGCATATGCTTTTTAGGCATCTTCTGTATTTTTACTAACTTTGTAGCAAACACGTGTCCATGCACTGATGTAGAGTTAAAGAAATGAGACAATGCTGGTGCTGACAGGGCAGTCTAACAGATGCTCCATGTTCATCTTTTCATTTAATTCTCACACATTTGGTATATTCTATTCTCCCATTTTACAGATGAAGAAATGGATTAGGTAGTACTTCAAATTCCATTATGTATTAGTAGCTCTGAACAAGAAGCCATGTGTGTAACTTTTAGGCAAGGTGACTAAAAGTCACCGATGTCTTGAGATTTGATGATGTCTTGAGATTTGATGTCGTGGTGTAACAGGCCAGTTGGAAGAAAGGTCCATGGTAGAGGTGGTAAGAGTATTTTTTTTTTTTTTTTTTGAGACAGTTTTACTTTGTTGCCCCTCAGTAGAAATGCTGTGGTGTCACAGCTCATAGCAACCTCAACCTCTTGGGCTCAAGCAATCCTCTTGCCTCAGCCTCTGCCTGAGTAGCTGGGACTACAGGTGCCACAGCTTCTGGCTTGTGTTCTCGCTCTTGCCAAGGCTGGTCTTGAACTCCTGAGCTAGAGTGATCCACCTGCCTCATTCTCCCACAGTGCTAGGGTTGCAGGCGTGAGCCACTGCATAAATTTTTACTAGTATTTAATTATGTTGAACCTAGAGAAGGTTCTCAAAATTTGACACAAACATCTGTCTGTGTATAAGGTGTTTCTGGCATGTGTATCCTAATGAGGTGTAAATGCCAACTTAATAGGAAAGTATTGGAAGTGATAGGGGAAGTTTTCATATGGGAGAAAACAATAGTCTAGCAAGATGCATGGAGCTGTACATGCCAGAACAAGTCCATTCTTATTAACTAATCTGCATGTCTAGCAACTTAGATCCTCATATTTAAAAGCATGTATGTCAGTTAAAAGTAACTGATTTTCCAGAGTCTTTAAATAAAGACATTTAATATTAAATAAATATATTTTTTATCTTTTAAAATTCTGAGATAATTATATAGAGTTAAAGGAAGTTGCAAAAATAGTACAGAGAAGTTCCTATGTATCCTATACCCAGTTTCCCCCAATGGATACATCTTATATAACT